AAATTCACAGTGATGGGAAAATTAGACCCAATTCAAGTTTCCCTCAAATATCCCCTCAATGACCCCCAAAATACTATTACGTGTGGTTTTAATATAAAAATCAGTATATAATTACGTACAAAAGAAAGTGTACCCTGCACCAACTCTGGGGAAGAAAACAGAGCTGTGGTTGGCAAGGCCTGGACGGGGGACAGGGTGACTCCAAAGAGGCAAGCAGGACCCTGGCCTATGGAGCCCCGTCTGTCTGGAGACAGGCACGCCACGCTTAAGTACGCCCCATTACCGCACTGCACACAACAGCCGACGACAGACGCACGCAGAGGACACAGAAACCTACACCTGCACTGTCTGACTTCGTTCCCTGGTGTGCAGGCTGAACCTGTTTAGATCCAAGAAGCGTACGTGCGACTCTCCCGGCTGACAGGGCAGGACCACCAGCAGGGGGGTGGCAAACAGGAGTAGCAGCAATCAGCCAGCTCAGGCCCCGACTGCAGGTAAGCGGCTTCTGGACGGGGGGGGGGGGGGGGGGGGGCAGGTGAGGCAGGGCTTCTGTGTGCTCATATACAGAGCCCCCCCGTTACGTCATTCAGTCAGCGGGGCCCCAGAGAGCTACAGTTTATAGGACACACGATCCTGGGCACGGACGGGAGGCACAAGGGTACCACTAAAGGGAGCACCAGTCTCCAGACCCTGCACGACACCGCCCAGCCGCTGCAACGAGACATGGGAGCCACGACTTCCTGCCGTGTTCACGGGAAGCCAGTGACAACCAGAAGGCAAAGAAGGTGCCCGTGCTGGGAAGGGTCGGTCCTGTGGCACCAGGTTTCCCGGAACACACCCCGTCACTCTGGACCCACGCTGGCACCAAACACATGCCGCTCGCTCTGATTCTAGCCCAGGACACAACTTGTTGGTTCAAGAATAGAAAAACTGGGTCCCCGTGAAACAACAGGCAGCCATTCCTAACCCGGGAACCAAAACCACATCCTCTCTTCGAATAAGGACTGTAGGAATTCTTTTTTTTTTTTGACAAAGACTTGACTTCTTAATATCATCAAGAAAATAAAAATTTTGTAATAAAAATTATTCCTACTGATGTAAATTCTTTAATGTCATTTTAGGCCTGTTTCCCATGCCCTAGAGGTAGCGTCGGGGAGCAGTAAGAAAGCCATGACTTCATGAACAGCAAACATAATTGATGAGAAACGATTTTAAAAATTATGTATACATGTCAAAGTACAGTTATTAGTTTTGTCAAAAAATAATATTGTTGAAAATTCTTGTCACTCTTGGGGCGCCTGGGTGGCTCAGTTGATTGTCTGACTCTTGATCTCAGTTCAGGTCTTGATCTTAAGGTCATGAGTTCAAACCGTGCACTGGGCTCCATGCTGGGCACAGAGCCTTAAGCCACTCTTCCATTTTTTCAATAATTTGCTCACTTTCCTCTTCCATGAGTCAAGATAAGACCTGGGATGATAAGCCAATCTCCTCTGTAACGTAATGGGGACACATGACTGTCTCACAAGATCCACTCTCGGGCCGGGAATGGCCAGCCATCCCTGTACCAACGGGTGAAAGATGACCCCGAACTTTGCCGTGAAAGAGAGAAGGCAAGGGGGTCAACGGTCCGAGACGAAGACCGTTTGGTCTTCTCTGCTCCGGCAGGAATTATTTTTAACATGCAAAAAAAAGGGGGGGGCACCTCGGTGACTCACTTAAGCGTCTGCCTTCAGCTCTGGGATCAAGTCTCACATCGGGCTCCTTGCTCGGCGGGGAGCCCGCCGCTCCCCCTGCTTGTGCTCGCTCTCCCCCCCTCCCCACGTCAAATAAATAAAATCTTAAAATAATAAAAAAATGAGAAAAAATATCAGTAAAATAAACTGTATGTTCACTGCAGGAAAATTAGGAAACAGAGTACTGGGGGGGAGAGGACAATGAGACCCGAACCCACCACGTCCTGACAACCCCTGCTCGTCACCGATTTCCTGCTGGCCTTCTCCTCTGCAGGCCTACAACCTCAAATGTTTTCAAATTCATCATCACTTTGAAAACTGCAGTGGTCACACAACATTCCAGGACAAGAGTACCTGCGGACATCAGGCTCACCCAGAGACAGAACCGGCAGCACACCCGCACACACATTCAGAGATTTACGTCAGGAACAGGCTCACGTAGCCGTGGTGGCCGGCTGAGCCACTCTAAAACCCACAGGGCAGGCCAGAAGGGGCGTGAAGCTGCCGTCCACGGCGTGGATTTCTTCTGCTTCGGGGAAGCCCTGGCTCTGCTTTCAGTGCCCTTCAACTGACGGTTAAGACCCATTCGGGTCACCCAGGATGATGACCTTTACCTGAAGCCACCTGGTCGTGGACGCTGAGCACCTCCACCGAACACCCTCACAGCAACACCCAGGGATGGGGCCCGGCCAGGCTGCCACAGAAAATGGACCGTCACAATCCCCACATCGGTCAGCTTTTTAAAAACAGTTTATAAATGTCCATAACCATTCCCCAAATGCAAATGCAGCACTTCTTCCAAAATAGTGCTGAAACGAGTAATGCTGGAATAAATAAAACTAAAGTGAGTAACCGTATGCTCAGTCTTCATTCTGATATCTAAATATTTTACACAAAGACCCCTGGAAGAGGGCAGCTACACACAGAAAGAACTCAGAAAACTGCACAGCGTCTCTGGGTCTTTGCAGTCAACTGTCCCCATGTGAGTGTGACGCAACGGGGAGGGCAGACACTCCTGGGAACTAGCCCGCATGACCCCAAAGCTAACAAGGGGGTGGAAGCTGTTCCTGTTTCAAGCAGCAACAACAGAACATTCTGGAGAACCCAACAGGGCCATGTTCTAGAACAAGGAGAACTAGCCGTAGAATCAAAGTTGCTATGGACACACCCCCACAAGTTTAAAAACAAGCTTCTGAAAGATCATACTGATCAGCAAATAACTACCTTTGAGAACAAAACTCTTTAAAGGAAGAAAGCAAAACCCAGAGATGCAGCTACACAGCATCCACAATGGCAGGCATCCAATAAAAAATTACCAAATATGGGTCTTCTGGGTCTCTCAGTGGGGTTAAGTGTCTGACTCTTGATTTCAGTTCAGGTTGTGATCCCGGGGTCCTGAAATCGAGCCCCGAGTCAGGCTCCTCGCTCAGCACAGAGTCTGCTTGAGATTCTCCCTGTCCCTCTCCCCCTACTTGCACACGCACACACTGGCTCACTCTCAAGTTAAATAAAATCTTTAAAAAAAAAAAAAATTACCAGATACGTAAAGGAGGAAAATGGAATCCAAAATCAGGAGAAAAACAGCCAACAAAACAAAACATTACAGAAATGATGGAATTAGCAGATCAAGACTTTAAACAGCTATTATAAACATATTAAACAACTTCAAGGGAAACGATGAAGATAGAGATCAAAGCCACAGAAGAGAACCAACAGGAAATGCAAAGCCAAAAAATCCATTATATGAAATAAAATCATACTGAGGAGTTTAACTGAGGATTAGACACTAAATGAGAAAAGATAATAAAGATGACGACAGGACAATAAAAACTGCTCCAAAGAAGGCACAAAGAGAGTCTTAAAAAGGGGTACACACAACAGGGGCAGAACAAAACCCAGAAACCCTAGCAGTACAAACTTGGAGAACACCACCCCGAAACAGATGGTAACCAGATCGCTGAGACTAAGCATAAATATCTTACAAGCACCCGGGGGACCCATAAAGGGGAACAAAGAACACTCACTTCTTATCAGAAGACAACAGAATTCTTTAAAGTGTTGAAAAAGAAGCGTCAGCCTGGAATTCTAGAGACAGCAAACACATTCTCAGAAATGAGGATCAAATAAACGTTTTCAGACAACCGAAAGCTGAAAGAACGCCTCAGAAGCAGACCTGCACTACACTGCAGGAAACGTTGGAAAAAGTTCTTTGGGCTGAAAGAAACCGTCGGATCCCTGCCCTCTGCCCAAGAGCCCGCCCCCACCCCGGTCCCCGACCCTACTCTGCCCCTTCCTGCCCCGAGCTCCATATCCACGCCCTGCTCTTCGGCACCAGCTGACTCGTGCACCCGACACCGTGGTCTCTGAGCCCCTCGGTCCCGCCTGGCCTCTCGCCTCTGCACTTCTGCCTCACATCAGCTTCACAAAATGTACCCCGCCCCCCGCGTTTTATGTCGTTGCAGGCCGTCAGCTTTGCTGCGCCGTCCGGGAACCAGAGAAACATGAGAAGGGGTCAGTCAGAGACAGTGCGCGGAGAAGGAAGACCCACAGGGAAGTTAAGACGGGGACAACGGCGGGAGCAGTCCTATCCGAGACGGAAGACGGTGGACTGTGCTAGGACGGAGCAGGCCGGGAGCATCAGGCTGCCTTTCAGAGCCCGCCACGGCACCCGCACAGGGAGCGAGCATGATACCTGCGCGCCCACGTGGGGCAGAGAAGGACCGGCAGCCAGGGTGCCGCGCCAGCCGCACAGCCTCGGGCCCAGTGACAGCGGCAGCAGCCTGAGGCAGGTGCCGGCACCCTCACCTCCACTTTACGAAGGACAAAACCAAGCCACAGGTGACACTGTGTGCCAGGTAATCCATTTACTAAGGGGCAGTCTCCAAGGGGACTCTGGGCCCACGGTCACCCATCCCACCGACAGGACTGGAGGCCCCAGCAGTGCTCCAGCAAGAAAGGACAGAGCCGAGACCCCGAGCCACAGCCGCCACACAGGCGGGCAGGTCTCAGGGAAGGCCTCTGGGCGCCCAGTGCTCTAACTGTGGCTCTGAACTGGCCGTACGACAGGCAGCTTACTACCTTGCCTTAGAGGGAGGAAAAGACAGCAGCCAACTGACCTCCCGTCCCGTGTGACCAAAGCACCGTAACGTGGTTTACAAACATAAATGCAGACACAGAGTCGGAGGGGTACCACGTGAGAACCACTCATGGACCAAACCAACCACGAGCTGCCAAGCAAGAAAGGAACTGCAAAGTAGAAATTCTTACTTGGGAAGACCTGGGGGTTCCTTTGGAAGTTCGGCGGCACCCGCCTGAGCTCCCAGGGGCTCTGCCTCCCCCGAGCTGGGGGCCACCTCCGGCCCAGGACCCCGTGGGCCCGGTGGTCCCTGAGGCCCGCCCGAGTCTGCGCCGGGGCCAACCTCCACCTCCTGTCCCGGGGCTGGGACTGGCTCTTGCTCGGCGGCGGCCGCCACGGCCTCCTCTGCCTCCTTCCTCCTGGCCTTCTCCTCCAGCTCCTTCCTCCTCTTCTCGTCGTCCTGACGGGCCATGTGGTCAAAGGCTGTGAATACCTAAAATCAAACAGCAATCCAGCAATGAGTTCGGCTGCCCAGTACTAGACCACACATGCCGCAGTTCAGAAGAGAATGACAGAACAGGAGACCACAACGCGTTCCCACTAGCACAATGCAAGCACACTTCAGCTTCACCCGAAGCTGCTCCCAAGCAATCTTTAACAGGTGTTCCAGTATCAGCAGAAGTGAAACCCTGTAAGCCATGATACCTACACGCCCACGAGCCCAACTCCGGGGACCAAAGGACACGTCACTACGTGGTCTCTCTGTCCTTTTATTCACAGCGCCCAGTAAGACTCGTGTGCCACGGAAAGAACACACTGTCCTGGTACCAAGAGCTGTAAAGGTGCCAACAATTCAGGCTCAAGAGAAGATGAGAATCGAGTTGAACCCACAAAGCATGGAGAACCACGCTGCTGCTGTCTCCCCACACTGCACAGGTGCAGGGGACATGTGGCTCTCAGAAACCTGGCCACGGGGGCGCCTGGGGAGGCTCCATCAGTTAACCGTCTGCCTTCGGCTCAGGTCATGATCCTGAGGTCCTGGGATCGAGTCCCGCATCAGGCTCCCTGCTCAACAGGGAGTCTGCTTCTCCCTCTGCCTCTCCCCTGCTAATGCGCTCTCTCTCTCTCTGACAAATAAATAAATATGTAATCTTTAAAAAAAGAAAGAAAACTTGGCAATCAATTCCACAAACAACCATGTGCCTACAGCGGGCAAGGAACACAAAAAATCCAAACGACAGCTCCCACCCTCTAAGAACTCGACATTGTGGTGTGAGGACCAGCCCTTACCCTTTCCTGAGACACAGTGACATCCATACAAGCGCTGGGACTCTCTACTCACAAAGGACACTGGAAACACGGCGTTTTGTGTGCACCTTTCATGGACACAAACCCACTCGCGGCAGTGCCAACAGGAGGGGCGTGAGGAGCAGCTGTGGTCCCTCACGATAAGCATACAGATGCACACTCCAGTCCCGGAAATCTAAGAAAGTTCCTTGGGAGGAAGGGGCTCTGCAGCAGACCCTGAAGAAAGGCGCATGTTCCCCAGGAGACTACCGGAGGAAATGCCGCAGCTCTGAGACGTGGTGCCATCTACGGGAGCTGGAGGCAGGAAGGCTGGGAGAGCCTCCTTGGGAGGCTGGGGGGGACAAGTGTTACACCCCATCTAGCAACCTTGCTCCCTGCTATGTCCCCAAAGGAGTTGAAAACACATCCATACAGAAACCTGCTCACGGGTGTTACAGCAGCGTCATTCATAAATGCCCCAGGTCGGTAGCAACCAAGGTGTCTGCCCATGGGTGAACGGTCCATCCAGACATGGGAATATTTATCACTCTCTGCTAAAATGGAATGAGCTATCACGCCGTGAAAAGACCTGGAGGAAACTGAAATCATGTTACTAAGTCAAAGAAGCCAATCAAAAAAGTCTATACATATTCTGCATGACTCCAATTCTAGGACATTCTGGAAAAGGTGAAACGACAGAGATGGTAAAGATCCATGGGGGCCAGGGTGGGGTGGGAGGAAGGAATGCATAAGTGGAGCACGGGAGATTTTTCCAGCAGTGGAACATACTCTGTGTGGTGCATACCTGTCGTTATATGTTTGTCCAAACCGCAGAAAATGCGCATCACTAAGAGAGAACGCTAAAGCCAACCAGGGCTTGGGTGTTCCGGGGTGGAAGGCGCGCGGTTTCATGGACTGTAGCAAAAGGCCCCCTCTGGTGGAGACAGAAGGTGCTCGGGAACTCTGTACCTGCCCCTCCGTTGTGCCCTGAACCTAAAACTGCTCTAAAAAACTGGTGACAGGTGGGTAGGAGCCCCGTTCCAAGAGGCTAGAATGCACACGTCTATCAAATAGTCCCATTCCCTGCACAGAGCAGGAAGACAAAACAAAAGGTCACTAACTCCTGAACTACGCCAAATGCTGTCACGTTCTCTCAAACCTTCAGGAAGATGCTGTGAGCAAGGCAGCACTGATGTTTCAAAGATGAAGAAAAACTAAGCCCAGAGAAGCTAAGGAACCCGCCTGAGGTCCCGCCGGCCAAAGAGGAATACAAGAAGTCATCCAAGTGGCACTCCACAGAAAGGCCACACACGCAGAGGAAGACCCATGTGATGCTAAGGCGGAAACCAGGCATTGATCCCAGACCCGTTTCTACTCCCTCTGGGAACCTGAGCCCCGGACACGACACCTCCCGGCCCCGTGTTTATAGCACCTGACTTCACCCTCAGAGAGCCACTCATCCTAACTCTGTCCCCTCAGCCCTGAGAGCTCCCTGGACGCAGGGCCCGACGCTCCACGGCATCTGCCGACTCTGCCCCCCTCCACCCTCCTCTAACCTGCCACCTGCTTCGCCTCTCCCGTGGCTCCACACTCTGCAACCACAGCTCTGTGGGGCTGACAGAGATGTCTGTGACCTCCCGTCAACCTTCTCTGCTGACACAGAGGACTCTCCCAGCAGGTTCAATGAGGCCCAGATGGAGCCGTCTTTCCTGATTCTTGGGCAACAGGCCTCACTAAGCAGGCTTCTCAAACTGGACCCAGAACGAGCACAGGGTATCAAACAGAGAACAACAGCTCCCCGGGACTCGCCCTCAGCTGCCCAACAAAACATCCGGGGCACTTCTGCTCTCTTAAAGGTCCTCAGGCACTGCAGACTGCGGAGAACCAACTCCAGAAACGCTGGAAAGCGGCCCCTGGGTTTGTGTGTACCCTTCTGCCCTGCCCACTCCCTCCATCCCCAACCGCGCGTGCAGCCCCCCGCTTCTCCCATCCCTCCACCGGATCATCCCCCTAGGTGCTGCCCCCCCCAGTCAGCTCTTCTTCCCCTCAAACCACTCTGGTTCCTCATCTCCCGCAACACCCTGTCCCATGGCTCCAACAGCCCACAAGCAGGGACTTCCGTCTGCTTTTCTAACTTGTCTAACACTAAGCTTCTTCCCCTCAACTCAGGGCACAGTTCAGTGACCACATTATCATTATTTCAGTCACCCAGGTTTGAAACCACAGGTCATCTCCGACTCATCCCTTCGTTAAACTGGTCACCAAGTCTGAGACATAACAGCCATTTCATACACTGTGACCAGATCATCTGTAAAACAAGGGCAAAGACCAACCTTTCAGGTTCGTGGGATTAAATAAAGTAACACCTGAGGTGGCAACTAGTACATACTAGGCGCTCAGTAAACCTTCTTTCTGCTTCTCCACATCTTTCCTGCAAGCTACTGATGTTCTCCCACCCTGCTAGGGGCTAAATAATAGAGCGGAAAGATCTGGAATCCTAAAGATGACGTTCTGCGTTCCAGCTCCGTGAGGAGTTCGGTGAAATCACCTAACCCTGCTGAAAAGGCACCTCATCTGCCACATAAGGCTGGACCATACCTATTTCACGGGGACCTCCCTAAGGGCCTTTGAGAAGCCATCCGACACTTTCCGACCACTGGGATGGCACTCGGCCACGGAAGCACCAGAACGGAGCCTATCATTTCTGGTGGTCCCTCCAACACCCGGAGCTTCTGCGTCTCCACACACAAGCGCCGAGGAACATGAAACCCGACCAACCCGCAGCTTGCGGCAAGACCTCAGGAGACACCATCGGCTAGCGCCCCACAAACTATAAAGTGCTACGGAGCTGTGGGAGGTGCCACCAGCAGTTCTATCTTCTCAGGTTCCTACCAACAGGCTCAACCCCACCTGCCCTGCAAGACGTTTCTCTGACTTCCAAACCACCGCTTCTACCCCGTTCCCTGGTCGGCCCTGCGCGGTTCTGTCACCGCGTCGGGACCACGCGCGGCGACCACGTCCCAAGAAGAGACTCGTCCCCGACCAGGCTCATCGCCGGTGCTCGGCCGATGCGTGCGGCGGCTGACGACGCACACACCGTCGGTAGACACCTGCTCGCTGCACCATGCCCGCTCCCCCGTCCCCAGCGCGGAGGCAGCGCGCCCCGCGGGGACGGCTGTGACCTGGACTCGCACCCACGGCCGGACCCCTGACCTCCCTGCCCGCCCGCGGGCTCCCGCCCACACCCGAGCGCCCCGCGCGCCGGCCGCTCCCGCTCCCGCAGGCCAGGAACTCCAGCGGCGCCCCGGCGAGCTCGCGGGCGCGGCCGCGGGAGGCGGGGCCGGGGGAGCGTCGGAGGGGGAAACTGAGGCCGAGAGCGGAGGGCTCCCCCTGCCCTGCACCCCGAGCCCGGGGCCGCCAGCCCGCCGCGCGTTACCTGCAGCACCAGGGCCTGCGCCGCCCCGGGCGGGAAGCCCATGCGGTCGGACGGGTGGCGCAGCAGGCGGTAGAAGTCGGTCTTGCGGTAGAGGAAGCCGAAGAGCACGCGCAGGAAGTCCTGGACGTTGCCCACGTGCTGCAGGATGCCCAGCAGGGCCTGGTCGTACAGCTCGGCCGCCCCGGGCTCCATGGCGTCGCCGGCCGCAGAGACGCTGCTCACTGCGGGCGCGGCCCGGACGCCGGCCCACGGCCACTTCCGGCACGCTGCGGTAACGGCTCCGCCGCCAGCGCAACTTCCGGTCCGCGCCCGCCCGGCCCCCGCTTGTCGGGCCCGGCCGGGAGGCACCGGGGCGCCCGTGCCGCGAGCCCCGCCCCCGCCGCCCGGCCGGCTTTCCCGGGCAACCTCGCGGAGAACCACACGCCAGCCCCTAAGTGGCTCCTAGGCGCGAGAAGGCCCGGGACGGCGGGACCGAGAGCGCCCAGCAGCCATGTTGCAAATGGGCGGAAGGGGCGGCTCGGGCCGCGTCACGTGAGCCCAGGTGTTGTCACGTGGTGGGAGGAGCACCGCCCCTTTCTGGGTAGGGAGCCGGTCTTGGGGGCCCGGGTCCCCGCAGCGGGCGGTGTGTGTCCGGTTAACGGCGCCGGGAGTGAATGCACGGTGACGAGCGGGCACGAATACTCAGTGGAAAAGAGCTCGGTGCAGAGTGGAGACTCTGCCGTGCCATCGTCGTGAGATACACATATATACGCGTGGCTAGCGTGCTCTGGCGTGTGCATCGTCTGCGTACATAACGCACGGCGCACGTAATATCCTCGGTGTCCGCCCAGGTGCGATCCTTAACAAGCTGCAAACAGAACGCCCATTCAGCCACCGAGTGAACTCACGCCAAAGATGCCGTTCAACGAGACTGAATTAATGAAGGAAGCAGTGATATGGTAGGACTGGGTCCAAGAGCATTTGGAGGAACTGGGTATTTATACACACTTGGAGAAACAGTAAGGTTGTTAGGTTGTACAAACCTGGCTGGTGTCCTACAAAATGATAAAACCGTAGGTTAACTTCTCTAGTGGATAGAAATGCTTTGCATCTCGACTGGACTAGGATCTACCAATGAACAGGTATCTTCATAGTCTAGGGGCTCTAATTAATTGTAAATAAAGTCAGAACCAGATGAATTGCCCTAGGGCAGTGGTTCTGAAACTTCTTGGAGTCATTTTCACTTTAACATTTATTGAAGACTGCGAAGACCTTTTATGTGGGTCGTTCTTATAGTTACCATATCAGATATTAAAACTGACAAAATGTTTACATACTTATTCATTTTTAAATAACCATGAAAAGCGGGCGCGTGGGTGGCTCAGTCGTTAGGCGTCTGCCTTCGGCTCGGGTCGTGATCCCAGGGTCCTGGGATCGAGTCCCACATCGGGCTCCCTGCTCCGCGGGAGGCCTGCTTCTCCCTCTCCCACTCCCCCTGCTTGTGTTCCTGCTCTCGCTGTGTCTCTCTGTCAAATAAATAAATAAAATCTTAAAAAAAAAAAAATAACCATGAAAAGCACATTACATATTAACATTTTTATGAAGGAATAATGTTCTTCAAAGCAATTAAGATTACTGGGAAGAGTAGCATAGTTTTACACTTCTGCAAATCCCTTTAATGTTGGGCTTCATTGAAGATAGCAAGATTCTCGCATCTTTTGTGTTCACTGCATTGCAATATGTTGTTTTGATGGAAATGCATGAAGAAACCCCATCTTACACAGATTGTAGTTGGAAATGAGAGGAGTATTTTCATTGTCTTTTCAAATAAAAGCATTATTTTTTGTAACCAAAGTTGAACAGGTGGTAGTTTCTTAAGAGCTGTAATATGGAACCTGAAACATCAATCAGTGTTTGATAATTGTAACATTAATACCCATTGGTCTGTCCTGAACTTTGAATGGATCTTTCACAGGCATGATTTTGTAACACCAGACTGGAATGCAGAATGTAGCAAAACAAATCCCATCACAAATGTGTGAAGCAGCCTCATTGAAGGGTCTGGGAGATAAAAGGCTGACCTAAGTACGTCTGGAAATGAACGGAGTCTAAGACTAAAGGCAAAAGGAGCTAAAAAGAGATGCTTCATCCTAAAGTTGTTTCCCGTGGGGGTGTGGGCTATCATCTGTGAAAATACTACCCACATATAAGGGAGATGAGCAATCAAGCAAGTTGTGCGGGTGGTGGAATGAGGCTTCTCACTACTGGCATGGGAGCTTACTTACAGAGAAGCCAGGGAGGAGTCCAGAATGATTCCGTGTGGCGATGAATTAGAGCTGGAAGCATCAGCATGAACCTAAGTTAAGCTTCCTCTAGCTACAGATGGCTACGTGTAGAGATATTTATAGAAATGGGCACATACGTGTGTCAGTTTACACACATATTTCATTGCTCTCCCGGCTGAGAGAGCCCAAGAGCAGCAATGCCCCAGCAGCAAAGTGCACATGGAGTGCCAGATCCTGGGTTTGAATCCCATCTCCAACTGAAGGGCCAGGACTTCTTGGAGAAATGGCTGATTCTCAGACTGGGGCAGAAAATATACAAGCTGAACCTGGACCAACTTGATAGTAGCACCAAGGAGCAAGGAAAAAAGGAAAAACCTTCCATGATGGGAGTATGACAAAGGGACATAGGAGCCAACAGAGAGAGCCCCCAATGGCCCAAGCTGGAACAATCTGAGCAACACAATGAAGTAGTATCATATTAGAACCCAAACTACAAAATGAATATCCATGGGTCCATACAGTACATATCATACTGAAGGAATAAACATACGGAGGGAAATAGACTACTTTCCTGTTGAGAAGAATTCCAAGTAATTTATGTAAGTACTCTGCCCTCCAGGACGTGGAGCATAACTCCCCACTCCCTAAGTGTAGGCCACACATAGTGACTTCCCTCCAAATAGCACCACATGAACAGCATGGAAGGTGGGAGCGTAACTACCGAGGAGACAGGTGACAGACATGACCTCGGCCAGGCGACAAGAGGGAAATCAGGGGGGATAGCATGCACCCTTTATAGGATCTGCTGAGAAGGACGCTCCACCTCTGTGGGGTCTCGGCCAAAAACCCATAACTTCAGTCTAGTCAGGAGAAGAACACCAGACAAACTTCATTTGAGGGACGTTCTACCAAATGCCTGACCAGTCCTCCCGGAAACTGTCAAGGTCATCGCAAACAAGGAAAGTCTGACAAACTGTCACAGCTAAGAGCCTGAGTAGACATAACAACTCAATGTCCCGTGCTATCCTGCATGGGATCCTGGGACAGAAAGAGGGACGCCAGGTAGACTCTGAGGAAATCTAAATAAAGCACGGACTGGAGTAGTCGTTATCAATACTGGTTTATGAACAGTGCATTGATGATGTACTAGGCTGATAAAATATGTTCATCGGGTAAAATGGGTGTGAGGTCTATAGGAACTCTGTACTATCTTCGCAATTTTTCTGTAAATCTAAAACTATTCTAAAATTTTAAAATGTTTGCTTTTTAAAAATGTTTTTTAAAAAAATGATAATCATCCATAATCCTACCCTTTCCCCCAAAGAGCAAGTGAGATGTACTGTGTTGGTGTTGGTCCAGGGAGGGAGGCCCACTCATCCACCGCTGGCGGAAGTGTGAAGAGGGGAGCAGCTCTGGGGAGGCTTTGTTTGTACCCGTACGTTACCTCGCCAACACCACCTCCAGGTAGCTCTCCCGCATATACACCAGGAGACCTGTAAATACATGCTCAGCCTCGGGGCGCCTGGGTGGCTCAGTTGGTTAAGCAACTGCCTTCGGCTCGGGTCATGATCCTGGAGTCCCGGGATCGAGTCCCGCATCGGGCTCCCTGCTCAGCAGGGAGTCTGCTTCTCCCTCTGACCCTCTTCCCTCTCGTGCTCTCTCTCTCTCATTCTCTCTCTCTCAAATAAATAAATAAAATCTTAAAAAAAAACTCTTTAAAAAAAAAAATGCTCAGCCTCATAGAGGTTCCTGCTCTGTACCTGAAATCCCATAGGTGAGATAAATTTCAGGAATTAGGTTTTTAGAAAAGTAATATGATGCTTATGCTGTTTTAGATAATACACCCCATCAGTGCCTGTGCCTGCACACAATGTAATCAGACTCATCAACGTGCCCAAATGTCTGGCCACTCCCATCAAGGACAGCAAAGGGTATAAATAGCCCATTCATGAAACATATAAATAGACACATCTTGTCTGGTCAGTTTTTGCCACCAAATGAGTCTGTCCCAAACTAACAAAGGAAAAAGAAGACAAACTAGATTTTCAGAGATTTGGGGATTTGGAAATTCCATATGAGTGATTATCGAGGTGTAGTGGAAAAGTAATTGGGGGCGTTTTGCCCACCAGCAGAGGAAGGGATAAAACCACTGTGTTGGGTCACATGGGGGAATCCGGTAGGGCCACCGCGACCACTGGGCAAGGTCTACGGGGCCCCCCGTGAATAAATCTAACATGCGTGTGGCCTGGGAAACGCGCTGTGGAAGTGGACGCCAAGTATGCTTCCATTTATGAAATATTTTAAAATGTGAAATAATACTATATATTGTTTACATATAGATATATGGAATTAAAGTTTAAAAACTTGCAGGAGGAAGGATCTGCTGAGAAGGACGCTCCACCTCTGTGGGGTCTGGACACATGCCAAGTTCGAGAGACAGGAACAGGTCACCCCCACACTGCCACTTGCCACCTTCAGCATAATCATGTCCTCATGGGTACAACCCGGTGGCCAGATGAGGTCCCACCACAGGCACCCCCGTGGGGACAGCCTCTCCCAGACCCTGTGTGGGAGGACGAGTCAAGGGACCCCCACGAGGGAACCCGAGTGGCCCCCGGTGTCATCAGAACGCGTGTCCACTGCGGGGCAGAAAACCGTCAAGGCCACTCTTGGCGGTATGTTGGAAGCCGTAGTTGACGTAGGTGCTGCTGGCCGTGGATGTCGGGCTCGGGTGGCTCGGGCAGGAGGCCATCCTGGCCCTGGCAGCCTCTTCCATCTGCTTCTGCTCCAGCACTAGAGCTGCGTTGACATCAGGCCCTGCAGGGGAACAGCCACAGAGGACCGCGGTCAGGGGGGCCATGTGCTGAGCAGGAGGCTCCTCCCTGCCCTGAGTCTGTCAGCGGGAGGAGGGACGGCCTCTCTTAGCAAGGAGGGCTTGCTGGGTGCTGCCACCGGGCGTTCCAGGAAGAAAGGAGAGAGGGGTTCGCAGGCAGGCGGGGATCTGCTCTGCAAGACAGATGTGGGGGTCGATAGGAGGCGCCCTGCCCGGCTGGGACTGCGGGGTGCAGGGGGCGGGGCCGCTGTGTGGGAGGCGCCCTGCTGGGTGCAGGGGTGCGGCAGGCCCTGCCCCCCTGCGCAGGCGCCTGGGCACTCACCCAGGTAGCTGAGGACCACTGGCAGGAAGACCAGGCCGTGCAGCAGGCCGAGCACGGTGATGAGGAGGTTGAGGCGGAAGAAGAAGATCTGGATGAGCTGCGCCTTGGCCAGGCCCAGGACGAGGATGCCGGGCAGGTTGGTCATGGCCACGCCAGCGAACACCTGGGGGTCACAGGCAGGCGTGAGGCCGGGCACCGGGCGACGGGCGGAGGGGTGTAGGGGGGCGGTGGGCCCACTCACCGCGCTGCCCATGAAGACGGTGGCCTCCTTGGCCCTCTCCAGCCGTGTGGGCTGGGTGCTGACCGCAAAGGCGCGGGTGATGTGCGACACGAACTCCACGGAGATGCCCACCGCCTGCGGGCAGAGAAGGGCGTTAGGCGTGCAAGGGCCAGAGCGCGGGGTCTCCGGAAGGCAGCAGAGTGTCGGGTGAAGACGGGTTACCGTGACCAGGTTGATGAGGGACACGGCGTTGTAGCTGATGCCCCACAGGGCCATGAAGCCCACAGTGTCCACGAGGATCATGATAATGGAGAACAGGTTGAGGAGGCCCGAGCGCAGGTCCATGCCCAGCAGCAGGCAGCAGACGATGAAGGTGGGCAGCAGGCAGATGGCCAGCATGAAGAGGCCCTCGGGGACCACGTTCAGGTACTGCTCGTAGAACACGTTGGTGATCCTGTGGGGGGCGGAGCGCTGTCACCGCTGGGGCGCGTGGCCTCCCGTGTCGGGCTCCGCGCGCCCCAGGGACCCTCTCTGCTCCCGCCGCCCCCGCCGCCGGGCCTCACGTGTAGGGGAAAACTTCGAAGGCCGGGTCGGTGCCCGGCACCTGCCGCAGATAGGCGGTGATGTTGGCCGCCAGCGCGCGCGACGCCCGCAGAGCTTCCGTGTAATCCTGTGAATTCCGCAGCGGCTTGTGGTAGGCCATGAACCGCGAGGCTGCGCCCGCGGTGAAAAAAGAACAGAGGAAGGGCAAGGTCAGAGCCCGCTGCAGGCACCCTCAGACCCTGGGGCACACCCGACTGCGATCAGGGTGGGGAGGCCACCCCGATGGAATATTCTTCCGTTGTGAGCAAGGGGCCCAGCCTGCGGGGTTCACACTGCAGCCCCGCAGCCGGTCCTACCCCCGCGGGAGCCCCGGGCCCAGCCTACCTCTGCCCGGTGCACCCTAAAGACACCACCCAGATAAACCCAGATGCTGCTGTGCTCTAGGGTGTCAAAACACACACTGGATTTTTCAAATTAAGTCAATTACTTTTCCAATGTGCATCTTCCTAGAGGGAAGATCCAGAAGGAGAGGCAGAAATGCAGGAGTGGTTCAGCTGATAGGGTGACCGCAGGGCAGGGGCAATCGTCATCCGTTTAGCCAGCTGCCCACATTTGCGGTGATTTGTGCATGTGAGTAAGGGGTGTGGCTAACCCCCCAGCACTGGAAGAGTCCCGGAGTGTCTCCCTGACTGAGGATCTGGGGGTGGGAGAAAGAAGCAGGACAGACAGGGTGAAGTCTGAGAACGGGGAGCTGGGTAACATGGCCTCTGAGGACAGGGCCAGGGCAGGTGGAAGTCTCCCCATGAAGGAGGAAGGGGAGAAGATTGCAGATTGAGAGGCTCTTCCCCGGGGCTGGTGGTGACCCCCAGGGCAGCTAACTCTGTCCTTCCCCGCCGGGTGAGGCCACACTTACCTAAAATCTGGCCATTGGGTCCCAAATGCACGGAGGTGTTATATGCTGCCAATCCCCTGCGAGGCCGGAGCAAAGGCTTAATCAGGGACCTCGGCCACCCTCGCAGACCGTCTGTGCTTCCCACCCCAGGCTTACCCTTTGGGACACTGGATGTTGGGCGGGTCACTGAGGAACCAGGGAAGGTACTTGTGAAACTGCTCCTCTGAGGGCCGGATAGGGCCCAGCGTGAAGTTCATGCAGCTCTTCAAGCAGGCCAGGGAGTCTGTAAAGACAGCGGGGGCTCTGGGCAGTGCCACCCCCGGGCTGGGCAGCCCCCCATCGCCATCCAGGTGCCCAGGCACTGCCGCCCCCGAAACATGCAGCACGCGTGTGGCACGTGTGCTCTGAGGAGGAGGGGTTCCCCTCTCGGTCATGGAAACCACCAGCAACTATAGCACGTGAGGAAGCCAAGTGTAGGGCAAAGAAACGACCCCCTTCGGCCTCCCCACTCCACCAACAAATGCAGCTACTCTGGGGCCAGAGCCACATGCTACACTCGGCTCTCCCCCTTCCACCACCCGTGAGATCACAACTCGGGGGGTGCTCACCCCCACATGTGCCCCGAGCCTGTGCCCCCACCCTCACTGACCCTGCGAGAGTGCGGGAGGGGCTAAGAGGGCCTAGCCATGCTCCCCTCGCTTGCCTCAGTTTCCCCAAACTGTGGTAGGCCGGGAGCCCCCAGAGGCCCTGACTCACTGACGGTCGAGGGGCAGAATTCGCCTTTATGAGCACCAAAGGCATAAAGGCGGCAGCAGGAGGATGGCGTCAGCCAGTCTATGAAGTCATCCACCCAGGAGGAGGCAGGGATGGCCAGGTAAGACCTGAGGGTCAGGGGAGAGGACGCTGGGGGGGCAGGACCTGCTGGGCAGGCAGTGAGTCCTTCCCGGGGCCCGCCCCCCCCCAGGCACAGGGCAGCGGGAGGACAGGTGGGTGAGGTCAAGGAGTCCGGAAGGGGAGGTGGGAGGCAGAGACAGGGCTTGGCTGGGGCACTCACTCCTCGGGGAACTCGGTGGCATACTGTATCTTCTGGGTTAAGGAGTAGCTGTCGCATCCCGCACTAGAGCAAATGGCATTCATACCCGCCTTGCTGGAGAAGTCGTAGCCCCCCGTGGTGACAAAGTAGACTGGAGCCCCCACCTCAAAGTAGCGGTTCAGATTGAAGAAATAGTCCAGCAGGTATGAATCCTGAGGGGACGGAGTAGAAGGTACCAGGCACCCATCCCCCCACCTGGACACCCCTGCACCAGAAGCACCTGTCTGATAGACATAATTTGGAGCTCCAGGGTCTGCTGAGGGCTTGCAGCTCCCAGGGAAAGGCCCAGAAGCTGAATAGTGGTCAATGCCAATCGCCTTCAGCTCTCAGCATGGTAGCAGCTGCCCAGCCACACGCGGGCACTTTGCACACAGCTTGTGGGGCCCAGCATGGGACAGGAGCACCCCGGCCCCTAAAGATCACGGGTTTGCACTCTGATTGCTGAGTGCTGCTCTGATTTCAGAGGTGCAGAGTCGGGCTGCCGCCGTCAGCCCCCTCCTCGAGCTGGCAAGCCTGCTGAGATGTTTAAGTGACTAGTGATAGGTTTATTGATTTTCCTCGCCATGTTTTCCCTTTTCCCCCTTTTGGCAGGCAGATGTAGAAGGAATGGGACATTCAGAAGCAATCACAAATACAAGAGAAGTCACCACATGTTACAGTACCAGGGAAAGGCTCAGGCTCAGAAAAGTCTGATAAGTCTTTAATTTTACTCCTCAAGCTAATCTCCAAGACAGAGACACCAGCAACAATCACATTTCTATTTTTAAAGCAAACCCCCTGGGAAGGGGGAGAATCTGATCTTTAGAGTTACCATACGATAAGACTCAACTGTCCATTTCTCAACAACAACCATCCCAGACACTCATCAGACAGACACTTTAAAACACCTGTCTTAGGGATGCTCAAAGAGCATCCAGACAAAGCCAAGAAAAGAAAGTATGGACAAAATGGAATGATCAACCAATAGAAAAAATAAAACAGAATCCAGAAAGGAATTTTGGAGCTGGAAAGTACGAGGACTACATGAAAATTTCTGGTCATAGATTACATGATCTTACATACATGAAACTCTAAAATTCCACCCCAAACCCCTTAAAAGTAGTAAATAAACTGAGCAAGATTGCAAGTTACAAGATCAACACATAAAAATCAGTCACATCTCTATACACGAGCACTGACTAACCCAAACAGGAAACTAGGGAAAGCCTAGTTACAATAGCATAAAAAGAATAAGGTACTTAGGAATTAATGTCGCCCAAGGGGTGAATGGACTGCACGCTGGCAACCACACAGCATCGCCGAAAGAAATTAAAGAACACACAAATAAGTGGGAAGACATCTGCGTTCGTGGGCCAGAAACCTGACTATGGTCCGCTAGAGAGTCTCCAGATTCAGTGCAATCCTGTCCAGATCCCAATGACCTTTCTTGCAGAAATAGAAAAATCCATCCTAAAATCCACAAGGGACTCCAAATAGCCCAAACAATCTTTAAAAGAAGAATAAAGTTGGAGGACTCAGGGCGCCTGGGTGGCTCAGTCAGTTGGGAGTCTGATTCTTGATTTTGGCTCAGGTCGTGATCTCAGGGTCATGGGATCCAGCCTTCCATTGGGCTCCACACTCAATGGGCACTCTGCTTGGGATTCTCCCTCTCCCTCTGCTCTTCCCCACGCTTGCTCGCTCTCTCTCTTTCTCTCAAATAAATAAATAAATAAATTTTTTTAAAAAGTTGGAGGACTCACATTTCCTGATTTCAACACTTGCCACAAAAATACAGTAATCAAAGCAGTGAGGTGCCAGCACGAAGACAGACACATAGACCAACCAAATGGAAGAGCAAGCCCAGACATAAACCTGGGCATATATGGCGACATGGAATTTGACAAAGGAGCCCAGGCCATTCAGTGGGGAAAAGAAGTCTCAACAGATGGTGCTGGGACAATGGGACATCCACACACAAAAGAATGAAGTTGGACCTTCAAAAATATACACAACTATAGCGGCAATGTCCACAAGAGCCAGACTGTGGAAAGAGCTCAGATGTCCATCGACAGATGAATGGATAAAGAAGATGTGGTACATATATACAATGGAATATTATGCAGCCATCAAAAAGAAGGAAATCTTACCACTTGCAACAACATGGATGGAACTGGAGGGTATTATGCTAAATGAAATAAGTCAATCAGAGAAAGACAAATACCATATGATCTCACTCATATGTGGATTATAAGAAACAAAACAAAGGATCACAGGGGAAGGGAGGGAAAAATAAAACAAGATGAAATCAGAAAGGGAGACAAACCATTAGAGACTCTTAACCTAGAAATCAAACCGAGGGTTGCTGGAAGGGAGGTGGGTGGGGTGATGGGGTAACTGGGTGATAGGCATTAAGGAGGGCATGTGATGTAATGAGCACTGGGTATCATATGCAACTGATGAATCACTGAACTCTATCTCTGAAACTAATACACTGTATGTTAACCAAATTGAGCTTAAGTTAAAAAAAAATAATATATATGTATGTGTTATATATATGTATATAATTACATATACATAATTTTGGCTATATGCTATTAAATGATTATCAAAATATCTATATCTCTTTACAAATATAGATCTGTACTCTTTCTAATGTGTTATCTCATTTATGTAAGTACATTTTCTTCTGTGATCAACTTTTACTAATGTAAAACTTGCTTTGATTTCTGTGTGCCTCATCCTAGTCAGATAATGAAGCAACTATGCAATCTATAAGAAAAACAATTATATAAGGAAGTGTTTGTGACACAGATATGATAATTTTTTACATTAAAAATGTAATCACAATACAAAAATTATACACAACTCTGGGGCGCCTGGGTGGCTTGGTCAGTTGAGCATCTGACTCTTGACCTCAGGTCAGGTCTTGATCTCGGGGTTATGAGTTCAAGCCCCATGCTGGGTTCCACACTGGGTTTGGAGCCTACTTAAAAAAAAAGGAAAGAAAAAAATATACGTAACTATGTACAAAAATTAACTCAAAATGGATCCAACACTTAAGAGTTGAATTTGTAATACCCTTAGAGGAAACATAGGAGAAAAGCTTCAAGATACTGGATTTGGTGATTATTTCTTGAATGACACCAAAAGCCCAGTTAACAAACAGAAAAATAGGCAAATTGTACTTTATGAAAATGAAAAACTTTTTTTTTAAGATTTTATTTTTAAGTCGTTGCTACACCCAACGTGGGGCCTGAACTCACGACCCTGAGATCAGGAGTCACATGCTCTTCCCACTGAGCCAGCCAGGCACCACAAAACTTAAAAACTTTTGTTTATCAGAGCACACTACTGATAGAGTAGAAAGGCAACCGATAGAAATGAAGAAAACATCTGCAAATCATGTATCTGATAAGGGATTACTACCCAGAATATCTAGAGAACTCCCAAAATTTAACAAAGAAACAAAACAACAACAAAAAAGCAAGCTGTAAAATGGGCAAAACACTTGAACAGACATTTCTCCAAAGAAGACACAAATGGCCAATGAGCGCATGAAAAGATGCGCGACATCACTGCTCATCAGGGAAAGCAGATCAAAACCTCAATGAGATGCCCCTTCACACCCGTCACGACAGCTGCCATTGAAACAGAAAAAGAAAAAAGCCAGAAACAAGTGTTGGCGTGGAGGGGGAGACATCGGACTCCTGGAGAGCCATAGAGGGGATCATAAAACAGAACAGCTACGTGGAAAACAGTATGGTGGTACTCAAAAAACTAAAATTAGAATTATGATCTGTTCCAGCAGTTCAACCTCTGGGAACACATCCAAAATCAGGTTCTGGAAGACACAGCTGTGCACCCGTGTTCACGGCAGCGTCATTCCCAGCCGCTCAGACCCGGAAGGAACCCGTGTCCGTAGCAGACAAATGATGGATAAACAAAATGTGGGGTGTGTGTATGAAAATCCTCAGCCTGGAAGAGGAAGGACACTCTTGACACCTACTCCAGCGTGGATGAACCTGGAGGATGCGATGCTGAGTGGAATGAGCCACACACACAGGACACACTGTAGGGTTCCCATTCTGGGAGCTCAGATGTCCATCTGAGAGGCGTCCAATCCACAGAGACGGAGAGGAGACGGTGGGCACCAGCGCGGGGGGACCACAGGGGGGTCGGTGGGGGTCCACAGGCAGGTGGGATCATCCTTGATGCTGTCCCCCTCAGATCCTACACGTGCTCCAGCCCCCCACGAGGCTCTCCAACTCCTTGAGCCACAGAGTCTTGCCTCCCACAGAGCCCCATGGGGCCTGGGCATTCACGAACTGATTCAGCTTCCCCCCCCAGGTCAGCACTGTGAACAGCCCTGTACCGCCCACCAAGCCCCTGGCCCCTGCCCTGCACCAGCCGTGTGCGCTGACCCTCCTGAACCCCAGGGGAGCAAGGCCACCAACTAGAGGTCACCAGGCGCAGCTTACCTTGGGCAGGGCCAGCTCCTGATCCAGTCCCACGCTGATGTGGCACATGAAATAGAGCCCCACTCCAAACAGGCCCATGAACAGCAGTAGCTGAGGAGGTAGGGGGATATTCTGGAGCTGGGCAGACTTGAATCCCAGCCACCCCTGTGCTTGAGCCCCGGGGCCTGGGCAAGCTGTTGACCCCTTCGCAGGCAGGCAGGACCAGGGGCCAGGCTGAGCAGACCCTCCCATCCCCGCTGCCCCAGGGGTGGGAGGACCCCCAAGCCGCGCCTCCCACCCCACTCACCACAACCACGCGCGTGACCCGGTGCAGCAGGAGTGGGACATAGAACTTCCGGAAGAATCGGAGCAGGAGCCCCTCGCTTTGGTCAGGTGGGGGCAGCTTCGGGGCACCAACGCAGGGGCAGACATCTACCCGGGAGGCCTAGAGGGAAGCAGTCCCTCGGGCTGGCCCCAAAGCAGCCCCGGGCACTGCCTCCCCCCACCACCCCCCCGCGGAAGTGCCTTGCAAGGGGACGTGCCAGAGTGCTGTGTTGTTTGTTTTTCTATCTTGATTAAACACCTCTAAACTTTGCACTGTCGCAGAAACACTAGCTCCCCGTCAACATCTCACTTCCATTTTTTTCTAGACCTTTTGTACTTTGCAGGTTTGATCATATTCCCCTAAATCACCTTTTCTCTGGGGCCCTGGGGGCTTCGTGGCCCACACATCCCAGCACGCTGTCCCTGCATCCAGCCCCACTCTCTGATCCCTGCCCCCCATCCCCACAGAGATGAGGCCAGGCGGGCCCCTGGGTCCTGCACCACCCCTACCTCCTGCCTCCTGCTGTCCAGAGAAAACAGGGCCACGAAGGCAGACACCTGGAGCAGGAAGTCGAGGATGATCGCAAAGCCAGAGGTCAGGGCAAAGGTTCTCACAGCTGGCATGGGGGTCAGGGCCCCTGGGGGTGCAGGGGTGAGTCTCAGGGCGAGGCGTCTGCTCAGAGCAGTGGAGGGAAGGGGGCTGCCCACACCTAGTGCCCCCAGCCCTCCTGTGGCCTGGCGGGGAGGGGCTGCCCAGGCTTACCAAGAAAGAAGCAGATGGCCTCAGACAGGCTGCAGAGCAGCATGCTGGGGGCCACTCTGCCCAGCGCACGGCCAATGTGCTCCTCTCGCCGCTCTCCGGGCCTCCGAGGCAGCCTCTGAGTGGCGACATCAGGGACAGGGTCCAGAGCCGGCCACGGGCAGGGAGCTGGCCCGTGCCCGCGCTACCCCCCCCCCCCGCCGCCCCGTCAGGAGCAGATCCCTCGAATGCTCTGCTCTCTGCCTCATCCACTTTGCGGGGTCTGGCCCAGAGACATGCTTGGCACGTTTGGGGACGTCCATAGCCTGCTTGTTCCAACATATCCCCGGGTCCCTCAATGTCCACCGACAGGAGAGCCTAAATCAACTCAGACTGTGCGTCCGTGGCATGCCACAGAGAAGGCCGTGACGCTCATAGAGGGCATGACGGCCCGAGGGAGAGCGAGTGCAGGGGACACACGCGCCATGAGGATGACCCGGAGGGGCCAGAAGCCCGGGGGGTGCATGGCCGCCCCTGCGAGAGGGGGAGACCACCCCCCGCCCTCTCACCTGGTACTCCAGAACAAAGATGAAGATGTTGTCGGCCCCCACGGCAAGCACCAGGAAAGGCACCACCTGAAGGATCACCAGGGAGGAGGGCACGCCCAGGTAGGAGAAGAAGCCCATGGCCGCCGTGACTGCTCCCAGCACCACTGCCACCCCGCCCAGGCCCAGCGTGACCTTGGAGTCCACCTGCAATGGGACCAGGCTCAGCCTCCGGGCTGCACCCCTGCACCCCGTGGGAGCCTGCACCTCTCCCGCAGCACGCCTTGTTGGGTGTTCTAAAGCTCAGCTCTGCATCTGCTCCAGGGCGGCCTGTCCGAGAGCAGGACACCTCCAAAAAGCATTACCCCTCGGGGAACCCCTGCGGGGAAGGTTCTGGATGTCTGGACAAGCCACCCCGCCGTGCCCCCGCCCCCCGAATTCTCACCAGCACCCGGCGCCAGCTGGAGTATCTGCCCAGGGCCAGGGAGATGTACAGGAAGATGACGATGTAGCTGACCCCGAAGATGGGCAGGTCCTGGGCCGTGGTGCGGTTGATCTCGTCCTCCAGGGAGCGCTGCGGACACACAGCCCGACAGCACTGACCCAGGGACTCCCTGAGCCCCAGTGGGGCTGCGGGAGGGGCAGGAACCCACCTGAGCGCCCCCCCCACCCGGGTCCTGCCCCCCGCAGAGCCAGGGGCCCCGAAACCTACCTCCGCCATGAATGCGACCTGGAACCTGCCAGCTGAACTCTGCCGGAAGGCTTTCACCTCTTTCAAGAAGGCCGCTTCCCAGAGCTTGACGCTCTCCAGCCGGGGATCCCCAGGGGCATAGTTGTTGAGGGAGAAGGTCATGAACAGGGCCTCTGCCTCAGAGTAGTCCTTCCCTGGGATGAGAAATGCTCAGCCACCCTCCTTCCTCACCCCTGCTCCCTTCCCCGACTCCAGCCCCATCCCTGCTCCCCTCCCCCACTCCAGCCCCAACCCTACTCTCCTCCCCACTCCAGCCTCATCCCTGCTCCCCTCCCCCACTCCAGCCTCACCCCTGCTC